GCCGCAGTTACGTCTTCCTGTGTCTAATGGTATGTTTTTGATGGATGAGTAACTTGGCCGGATGCAAGGGTGAGATTAAAAAAACCGTGAATCTGGAGATGCAGCTCGGTGGGGCAGAGTGCTTTTCTAGCACGTACAGAGCCCCGGGTTCCATCCCAGCATTGCAGAAGCTGGGTGTGGTGGTGCACATCTGTAATACTAGCACTTAGGAGGGGGAAGCAGGAGAATCAGATGTTCTAGGTCGTCCTCAGCTGAATAAGGAGTTCAAGGCCACCCTGAGAGCCACATGGGACTCTGTCTCAAAAAGGTAAAGTGACAGGCTTTGGTTTTAAGGAGCAGAGCCCGCTTCCAGGATGTGGAACTTCTCGCTCCAGCCTAAGGTACCGTGTGGTGAAGGCTGGCTCAGGGGGCGCAGAAAAGAGATGGAATGTGGGGAGGCCGGGGACGTTCTCACAGAGGAGGTGGTAAGAGACTGCGTGGGAGACCTTGAGAGGTGGTGAGGAACTAGGTTGTGTGCAGTTGGGGTGGGTGATACGTGGGGTAAAGTCTGCCTGAGCCAGGATCTGGAGAGGGCTTGAGGGTGGGCTCAGAAGAGAAAAAGCTCTGCGTATGGAGAAGCCACCCCGTGCCTTGTGAAGAGAGGAAGTGGTGAGTGAGCCTTTGCTATCACACCCTAGGGCTGATCTTTGAGGATGGGGGCTGCATGTCACCAGCTGAGTGTCCCTGTGAGTTCCACGGGACCCTGCACCCACCTGGCTCTGTGGTGACCGAGGACTGCAATGCCTGGTCTGTGTCCACTGCCTGGAGGGAGGAGCCTGGGGGGGCCAGGGCTTGCTGTTGGATTGCCTACCTGGACTTGAGGAACCCTGAAAAAGCAAGGGCTACTCACTCAGCCTCTTTGAGATCCAAAGGGATGTCATTAGATCCACGGGGGGTGGGCCTCTTTGCCACCCACCTTAGAAATGGGACGCTGTGGGCTGGGGCCTGGGACAGCGTCTTGGCATCGAGAGCAGGCAGGTCACCTTCATGATCTCTGTTTCAGCACGTGCACTGCAGGGAAGTGGGTGTGCAGCTCTTCTGTCTGCCCAGGTACAGCTGACCCTTACCTTGGACCCTGCCCTCTTCTGCTGGTCTCAGGTTGGGGGCAGGGGCACGCTGGGGCCGTGCCTAGTCGGGGGCATTTGGTTCACCCGCCCAAACCTAATTCCCTTTATTTCCTCTGTTGCTTTGCCTGCCTTAAGGGATCACTCTGGCTCATACCCAGAGTGATATTAGTGTGTCCTGCACACCTCTTGCCTGAACTTGCTGGACTGCATTGATCCCGGGTCCCATGCCTAGGGCCCGGTCTCTCCTCAAAGGGACACCCTAGCAGGGCAGTGTCTAGCCTGCTCCCGAGCAGGCTCTCAGCAAACAGGCAACCTAGGCTGCCTAATCCCAGAGGGCAGAGGCTGTGCTCTGCCTAGGCTTGGATCTGCAAGGCTGAGTAGCCCCCAGTCGGGAAGGGGAACAGTCCTGGGGCGGACAGCTCCCATGAGGAAGTTGCCCTTCTTCTCCCTCAGCCGAGTGCTCCGTGACTGGTGACATCCACTTCACCACCTTTGATGGACGCCGGTACACATTCCCTGCCACGTGCCAGTACATCCTAGCCAAGAGCCGCTCCTCGGGCACCTTCACAGTGACGTTGCAGAACGCCCCATGTGGCCTGGTGAGACTGGGTCTGTTTGTTCAAGTATGCCTCCCACAGGTCTGAGAACTTGTGAGGAGGACCCCAGGTCTTCCCGTGACCCCGCTGCCTGCTGCTTCTGTTCTCTGGGACAGTTTGAGTCCAGGCCCTCTGCTGGCTGAGAGTCCATTCCCCTTCCTTGCTTGGCCTTGCTTTAAAGAAATCTCTAGAGTGGGTCTGACTTTACTTAGTCTTCTGTGCGTCATTGATTTTTACTTTTTCCATGTCTGGAAGGCGTATTTATTATTCATCAAACACTGAAAACCTGTTGGGGTCAGAAGCTGTGCTGAGGTCTAAGATTGCTCTGTCTTCTGGGCCTAGCAGCTTAGTGGGTCAGGCAGGTGAGCGAACCCAGGACCTGCTGTCACGGCAGCCGTGAGTGTGGATGGGGCAGGATGGGGGTCTAGGATGATGTTTTCGTTTACTTGGGCATTGAGCAGGAAGACAGAGGGGGCAGGAAAGGCTTCCTAAAGGCCGTGACCCCTGAGCTCCGCTGTGAACATAACAGAGACATGGCCACAGCAGATCAGGACAGGTGTGCATTTGTCTGTCTCGGTACTGACTGCATCGTTCCTGGGCTGGCTGTGCTGAGCCAACCCCCGGGGTCTGGTCTGGGCGATGTTCAAGCTCCTCCCTGCACAGAAGAACCAGAGCTCCCCATCCTGCATGCCTGCTGTCCATGCTCCAGCCCCAGCCCCTGAATGTGAGCAGACCCCAGCTGGGAGTAGTCTGGGGACACAGCCTCAGACTGTGGATGAGGTGGAGGCTGGCTTTCTTCGTTCGTCCTGAGTGATGTCTTTCCTTTCTGCTTTTGGCTCTTCTCTATGCAGGAGACTGCTTGTCTTCCAAGGTGGGTCACTTGTGTGGCATCTTGAAGGTGAGAAGAGAGGGAGGAGAGAGGGACACACAGCAGTTCTCACTTCTCTCATCCACACAGCTCAAGAGTCTTAGGGCACAGGAGGACTATGGGGGCCCAGGGTGCCTTGCCCAGCGCTCTATCTGATAGGCAGCTAGCCAGGCTGAGCCTGTCCAGCCGGCCTCATTGCTGGACAGCGCTTCTTGATTGCAAGTTTTTTTTTTTGCTGCCTCAAGACAGGGTTCCTCCTTGTTATTTTATTCACCTGATGAACCTATGGGGGTCCTACTCTGTGCCGCTCTGTGCTGAGCACAGTGAGGGCTACACAGTGGACTCACACCCAGTCCACCTTCAGGTGCTCACAGCTTATAGGGCAAGTCACTTTGGCATGATATACAACACAGTCAGAAGTGTAAAGGTGAGTGGCGTAGCCGAAGAAACAGCCCTGAATGTTGGCAGAAAAGAAGGGAAAGCCACGTGGCAGGGGTGGCATTTAACTTAAAGGTGTCCCTACAAAGACAAATACAAAGACAAGGAGGAGGCCACTGAGAGCTGATCATACCAGAAAAGCAAGGACACTGGAATGGCCGGGGTGGAGTGTGCTGGGCACAGTAACGAAGGTGATGGTGGTACCCATGGCACATTTACCCAGTGCCCTGAACTGTGACTAATATCCTTCAGTATAGCAGCTAATGCAAGTGCACACCAAGGTGCTGGACATGACTCTCTTCCCTGTTTAAATTTGATGGGCTGTCTTAGAGGCTTGGGGGATTTCATGACTACCCAAATCTTTACCTGCCTCCAAATTTGAATATTGTCACAGAGGCATTATACCCACCTCACGTGCAGTGAGGTGTTTACAGTCTTCAAGGGGTTTTAAAAGTCAACTTTGAAGCTGGGAGGTGGTGGCACACACCTTCAATCCAAGCACTCAGGAGGCAGAGCCAGGCGGATCTCTATGAGTTCGAGGCCAGCCTAGTCTACAGAGTGAGATCCAGGACAGGCACCAAACCACCACAGAGAAACCCTGTCTCGAAAACAAACAAACAAACAAACAAACAAAGGCCACTTTGTATTTTAGAATGACTTTAGAGTGTTACAGAGTTCCTGCAAAGATAGGACTCATCCCGTACACCCTGTTTCCCTTGTTAACATCTTATGTTACCTTACGCATTTTTGTTGTGTTTTTTTTCCCCCGTGATAGAACACCATGGTCAATAGAAGCTTATGGAAGAATTATTTGGTTTAGGGTTCCAGAGGGAGAGTCCATGATGGTGGGGAAGCATGGCAGCGGGCAGCTGGAGAAAAAGCTGAGATAGCACATCTCAGCTGTGCACCAGAAACACACAGGGGCCGGTCGGAGTTCGGAGTGGGGGCACAGGGAGGAAGAAACCGGAAGTGAGCTGAAGCTATAACCTGTCACAGCCCACCCCTAGGGATGTACTTCACCCAGCAGGACTCCCGTCCTGAAAGATCCCTCAAGCAGCACCACAAATGGGGACCAAGTGTTCAAACACGTGAGCCCACAAGACATTTCTCATGCAAACCAGCATGGCATGGCACATTATAAGCAACCAACCAGGACTGACATGTTTCCATTAGCTAAGGCCACGGCTTTCTCGGATTTCACTGGTTTTCACTCAGTGTCATTTTTCTGGTCCAGCACCTTACCTCTCTCGGGCTCTTCTTGGCTGGTTTCTCAGACTTTCAATGTTTGGAATGACCTTGTGAAGCCCTGGTCAGTGTAGCAGGCTCCTTTGGGTTTCTCTGATGGCTTTGTCTCTTGGTGAGGTTTGTGAATAGTCACTTTATCTTTGAGGTGATGACCTATAGTTTCTTTATTTGGTCATGCAGACTGTTTGGCAGATTCTTCATTGGGCTCCTGTGTCCCCTTTATGTACTCATATCACAGGTGTGCACGCATGGTCATCCGCACACTTCTTCTTCATTTCTGGCCCTATAGGTCACAACACATCAATGTGGGTTGGTTTTCTGTCACAAATGTACCATGCTAATGTAAATTAACAAAGGACACAGATGAGCAAAGCGGGCAGGCTGGAATGACCCATGCCCTGATGGATTAGAACTGCAACATTAGTATGAATGCATGCTTGGTTGCCTTTGTGTTTTAGATATATTCCTATAGATCTACACAGAAGTGATGTCTGGGAATGCCGATAGATATATTTGTGCCCATTGGTTATGCAGATACATGCAAGGGTTATCAACTCAGAGGGCCAAGAAGAGATGGGACTCTCAATGGCAGTTTTTATCTCTAGTGCTCTGCGTTTCTAAGTCTGCCCTTCAATAAAAGGAACTGGGAGAGTTTGGCGGTATTCTTAAAGGAAGGGGATAGGAAATGCCTAGGAAATCATGGCGAAGATAGGGCGCAAGTCCCACATATCCCTCCCAGTTTCATGCAACCGTAACTCAAACATTGCTTTTTGTGCCTTAGTCTTCTGATCTGCAAAATGGTGCTGCTATGTATAGTAGTGCCTAGAAGGGGTGCACACAGAGTGCTGTGAGGACTGAGTGATGGAGATTTAGACAACCCCTGGATACTGGGACTGACATTAGCTGTTTTCAGCAGAGTGACATGGCAGTATTAAGGCTTGGTTGTCAGGATTATTCTTCACTGTTGTCATCTGCTCCGGGGACAGCCTTTCCTGCCTCTGCAGTCCCTCTCTGTTCCTTTGTGTGCTTTGCTAATACCCTATGGCTGTTTACAGGAAGCAGCCTCTGCTCCCATTACAGCCAGGATACTTTGTCCTTAGTTATTTAATGTCCTCATCTCACACAAATCTCTCATCTCCTTGAGGAGGAAGACGTTCTCTGCCTTGCTCAGCCCTTGTCTGGGAAGCTTGGTGTAGTGCAGCCTGCAAATGGCAGATGCTCAGGAAATCTCTGAATGAATGAGTTGTAGATGTCTTCCTGTGGAAGAGAAGTATGAATGGGCATGATACGTACCATCCACTTCAAAGGTGGAGACCTGAGGCCCGGGGACTATTGGCTCATTTACTGCTCTCCATTCCTGCTTTCTGTGGTGGTTGAATGGAACTCCTGATCTTATTTATACCTGCCAGGCAAGGGCTGCACCAGGTCAGCCATACAACGCTGGCCCTTTAAAGTTTTTCATTTTGAGACAAGGTCTTGCACAGTGACTTAGGCTGGCCTTGGATTCACTGTGTAGCTCTGGCATGGCTTGAACTTGTTACCCTCTTGTATTAGCTTCCTGAGCAGACTTGGGTTCCTGCTTGCCTTTCAGAGGGGTTCAAGATGTGACATGTGAGCAGAACGCCACGCATCTGGCAAAAGGACAATATTAAAGCTCTGGGTTGCAGTCTTGTGAGGGAGCCACAGTTTCCAAGGCTAGACTGAGCTGTCTGGGAACTGCCTCTGTTCTGTGTGGACAACTGAGAGTCCATCATCATGTTCGTTGTGTTCATTGTCCAGTTCTGCAGCCAACCTTGTCCATTCTGGGTCTGACGGATCCCCCAGATGAGAGTATTTTGTTTGGCAATCCTTGATGCCCTTTGGGGCTCTGCTTCTCACTCTGAGGAGCCTGCTCCTCAAGTTGGGTCGGGTCTCTGTTATGGAGGGTTCTGTTTGGACCATCAGGACAGACAGAACCAACCCATATTCCCTATTGGCCCCTCTTTTTCTCTAGAACCAGGATGGAGCCTGTGTCCAGTCAGTGTCTGTGATTCTGAACCAGGATCCCCGGAGACAGGTGACCCTGACTCAGGCAGGAGATGTCCTTCTGTTTGACCAGTACAAGATCACCCCACCCTACTCAGATGGTATGGCTCAAGATGGTCAAGAGGACTGGCTGGGAGCTGATAGTTCAGGCCCCTTCCCCAGCCCCCCTCTACCCAAGGGGACTGCCACAGGAACACTCCTCCCAGGGATCAGGCTAGGGGACATTGGATTCAGGAAAGTGGACTCCTGAAATGTAGCTTTGCCCCCCCTCCCCCGCTCCAAATGACAGTGGTCTTCTAGCAGCATGATGGTTTCTCCTGACACCAGCCCATGCATGTGGCTGATTCCCATCTGTAGACTCAGTATTTATTCTCCCTCCTGATTCCTTAATCCATCAGTGAGTTGTGGGAAACCCATAGAAAACATTTTTAGCAGAAAAGACAAAACTACTAAGAGGTAAGATCCAGCACCAGAAAGAATTGGGCAGGGAGAGAACAGAGAGATGGAGAGAGAAGAGCAGTTCTTGGGCATCAGGAGGCGCAGGGCTGCACTGAGGGTAAAGAGACCACAGGAATGCAGGCCTTGAAGTTGTGAAGCTTGGAGGAACGTGTGGGAACTGGAGGCAGGGAGATCAGGAATTCAAGGTCAGCCTTGTGTATGTGGTGAGTCCAAAGTAGCCTAGGTTGTGTGAGACCCTGGGTCAAAAAAATGTGTTACCATTGGATCTAATCCGTCATGATTGTATAGCGGGCTTCCTGAAGACCGCCATGCAAAAATGGGTCATACAGAATTCTTCTGGTGTTAGAGCAAGAAACTGCAGTCCTCAGGGAGAGCAGGTTGTTATCGGGACTGACTATGTGACATTTCTCAGTGGCTTCTCCCAGGCTTGGCAAACTCATCCTCAGGCAGGGGTTTTCTGCAGGATGAAGCCAGGGCTGTATGTAGATGTGGGAGTCGGCCAACAGGTGATGGAGGGGGCTGGGCTGCACTAACAAGACTGCTGACTTCCTGTTTCCCATTCTGTGGCAGATGCTTTTGAGATTCGGAGGCTGTCCTCCGTGTTCCTGAGGGTGAGGACCAATGTGGGCGTGCGAATCCTCTATGACCGGGAAGGGTTGCGGCTCTACCTGCAAGTGGACCAGCGATGGGTGGAGGATACCGTGGGCCTCTGTGGCACCTTCAACGGCAACACACAGGATGACTTCCTGTATGTGTCCCTGTCCCGGAACAGGAAGGAGAGGGAGACTGGTGGGCCCCTTAGGGTCAGGCATCCTGAGACACTGCCTGACACACATACCGTTACTTATTTATCCCTCTACATTTAAATTGAAGTATAATTCTTTAAAATGGTGGTCACCGTTTTCTCTGTGTGGAAAGATCACTTGGGGAGTTTGCTTAAATACTGACTCCTGGGTCCCACCCTTTAAGAATCTCAGATAAGATGCTAGGGGCATGAGAGCCTCATTTTCCATAAGTACTCCCCACACTGTAGCCTCTGAGGTCGATGGGCTGTGCCCCGAGAAAGGCCGGAGACCTCAGGCTGGCTTTGATCAGTCTCTCACTTTTATTTGTTTCATCGACTGTGAATACCTGTAGGTGAAGGTAACCCCCATAAACCAAGCATTCCCACCTTCTGCCCCAGCACGCCAGTATAGCCTTTCCTGCCTGGTGGCTGAATGCTTTTGAATTTGTCCAATGGAAGCCGCCCAGTATTGAGAAGAAGGCCATTTCCCATGAGCTGACAGTTGAGTGATTTTCTTGGGTATGGTCACAGTTTAAAAGTTCTGGAGGAGACAGCAGTCAGGCCTTTCAAAGGAGAACAGGATCTTGACGCTGGAGAATCTGGCCAGTTCTTCAAGATACATGCAATGGTTGTTACAGAACTAAGCATGGGAGGCATTTCATAGCCAGAAGGAGTCAGCTTTACAGCGGCGTGTGCACACGTACAAGTGAAGCTTTCTCCTGTCTTGCCCAGTGAGGCTAGTGTTTGGGCAGCTGGCCAGAGTGGTGGAGGCGGACACTGGGTTAGTGTGGGGGCTGTTCCACGCCCTCCAGGTGTGTGTGGGTCCTGCCTCGTGTAGTTAGAAAACTCACAAGCTGGATCAGTAGTGCAGGTGTGGTGGCCGTCAGGCAGAACCTTGCCCTCACACAGACTTCTAGCTCTTTCGCTTGCACACTCACACTGGGTTTTAGTGACTGTCAGTTCTGGCTTGTCTCAGCTGTCTCTCCCACTCTCCCATTTCCTAACTATATCCCAGGAGGGGAGATGGAGGAAGTCATAGACCGCTGAGGTCTGGTATTCCTTCTAAGAGTTCGAGTGCTCTTTCTTACATGAAGAGCTGGGGGGAGGTGCTGAAAGTCTACAGTTCTAAGCCCATTGTGATCCTTTTGGGTCTTGCTAAATGTGCACGTCATTAATTGCATGTGTTTGAATGTGGCTATATCGAATACTTTGACAATTGGTGTGTCTGGCATGCACTTGTGTGGTGTGTGTGTGTGCATGTGTGTTGATGTGTGCAGAGGGCCTCTACAGGACCATGTGTGCTCACTTGAGAGTGGCTCAGAGTGCATGCCCATGCCTCCCCTGTGACCACGCGTTTAGATGTAAGCAAGTGGCTGCTTGTGTGGGTAGGTAGTCAGTGTAGCCCTACGACTGAACGGACAAGTGTGCGACCGTAGCTTTGCCATGGCCGCAGGTCTCCAGTGGGTGTGCCTGAGAGCACCCCACAACTGTTTGGCAATTCGTGGAAGATGCTGTCTGCCTGCTCCCCACTGGTCCCTGGCTCCCTGCTGGACCCCTGTGATGTACATCTACAAGCTGGTGAGGAGTGAGGCGGTGGGGAGGCTTGGGGAGTGGGGTGGGGGTGTTTTGAGAGAGGGGAGATGGCAGCTTGATCCAAGGGTGCTGGTCGGATTCATAGGTGTGACAGAGGAGAAGCCGCAGGGAGGGACGGGAGGGAGGGGAAGGCCAGGCAGACAGAAGTCCAAGCATCCTGATCCACCTCCGTCACCTATATTCACCTCAGTACTGGGTACCCATCTTAAGACAAAGGCCAAGTCCTCAGAAGTGGTCCAGCAGACCCCTCCATGCCCAGCCCCCTGTTTCCTCTCCCTGCACTGCCCTGCATGCTGCCAGCTGGCTGGCATGCTGTCCGTCTGACACGCCAGGCCTGCCCTCCTCCCAGGCCTCTGTGGCTCCCCTCCCCCGCCACACTCTTACCTCGGGATGGCATGCACTCCAGCCCTTCTTCCAAACTTTTGCTCAAACACGGCCTTCTCACGCAGGCCTTCCTAGTCCCTTGAGTTCAAGTAGCGTTGCCTGCCTGCCCCGCCTACGCTGTCTGGCCTTCCCTAGTTTTTCTCGGGCCTTAGGTTCATGTGCTTCTGACGGACCAGCAAAATGGTTTACTGAGTCTCTTCTAAGCGGTCTAGCTACCTGAGGGTCTGGGATTTGGATAGCAACGTTCACTTCTGTGTTTCCTTTAGTAGATAGATCCCTGCCTGGCATGCTGTAGATTGAAGTATCTGCTCATATTCACACACACACACACACACACACACACACACACACACGCACGCACGCACGCACATGCACACGCACACGCACACACACACATGCACACGCACACATATGCACACATACACACACACACATGCACACATATGCACACACACACACACATGCACACGCACACATATGCACACACACACATGCACACGCACACATATGCACACACACACACACGCACACGCACACGCACACGCACACACACACACACCTACAGACACTGAGGGAATGGAGGCTGAGTCTTGGGGCCATAGGCAGCCAGACCCCTGCTCACTGACCGTCTCTTCACATCCCAGCCTCCTACGCACTACAGTCCTGCAGTGTGCTCATGGGGGAGCTCTTTGCACCCTGCTCTGCGTATCTGAGCCCAATACCCTACTTCGAGCAGTGCCGCAGGGATGCCTGCCGCTGCGGACAGCCCTGCCTCTGTGCCACGCTAGCCCACTATGCCCACCTATGCCAGCGCCATGGGCTCCTGGTTGACTTCCGTGCCCATCTGCCAGCCTGCGGTGAGTGCTCCACCCCTGTACATCCATGGGAGTC